CCACGACGAATGCTTGAACGCAGAGATTTTCCTTGAATCGGTGATGGTAACGCGATTATTTAACGCGTTCGCTACCTACCGCAAATCTTTTGCAACGGTACCGTCTCGTCGATTCGAACAGGCGCGCGCGTCTACGCCCGTTGCCGAATTCTCGTTCTCGTTCTCATTCTCGTTCTCGTTCTCGTTTTCGTTCTCGTTCTCGTTACCGTTACCGTTACCGTTATCCCCTGCCCCTACCCCTAACAGCATACGGCACACGATAACGCGGTATCGGTCTGCGATCGTTATCGTTTCGTTTAGAGTTTAGGCTTCGGAAATGATTGTATGGACATTGGGTGGACGAGGTTCGGTAACAGATGTGCACGCGTACCTTAACGAATTCGGTTGTACTTCGTAATTATTAAAAAAAAAAAAAAAAGAAAGAAGATATTCGGAAGGAACAACGAGGAAATCAACGGGACGTTACCGTACTTCCGAGGAATGACTGCTCACAGAGCCGCGCGTAGTCTCTATTTTTTCATTAAAAAGAAAAAAAAAAGGAAGAAGAGGAAAGGAACTTGGGGATAATATGCACGGGGTTGTTACGGTCAAAATGTTTGTCGAGTTTAATTCCCGAGGCATACGTTAACGTTGTGTGTTTTTTTCTCTTTTTTTTTTCTTTTTTTTTTTATCGGTGCAAATTATAACGACGGAACTTGACTCGAGGATTTTTCCAGTATAAAAGTTCGTTCAATCTCTAAAAAGAGGATAATACGGAGAATTTGTCGAACGAGAATAACGACTGGCGGCTGACTTTGAATTCGTCGTATCGTTGTTGACAAACTGTCCAAAAAAATCCACCAAATCTTGGCTAGCAGTTGTGTATATTTGATTATTGTTATTGTTGATCGTGTGCGAGAAATACTTTTTCACAATGTTGGTAGAGAACGCGTTAATACGCGTCGATAAATACACGCGACCTGCGGTTTATTTTTCATTCGATTCGCATCTCTCGTGAAATCCCAACCGTGTGTTGTATGCACAGAGAATTATCTATGGTATTTTTTAATCTGATCGATTATGTGTTCGAAAAGAATGTGCTTGCCCATATTGGCGGCGAACATTACTCATACATATATACAGGAGAGAATCATTGTATAATTTAAGAATTAATTAATAATACTTACCTGTATTTTTACGTTAATTAACTTTTACGCAACAAGTGGCAATGTATTTTGATCTCTGTTTTAGTCAGAAGTAACGTCGCTTTTTATTTGGGGTGAGAATTGAATTTGCTAAGTGATCGACTGAATATATCAAAGGAAGAACTTATATTTTAGATGGTAACGTTACGTGGCTTTCGTTCGATAACTGGCAGCTTTCAAACAATTTTTTTTTAATTATTGTTACCTATTCTCTCTTTTTTTTTTGTTTTGTAATAATTGACCATAAGTCTCTTGTTCTTTTTTATATACATATACATATATGTATGTATGTATGTATGTATGTATGTATGTATGTATGTATGTATGTATGTATATGTATGTATGTTTGTATGTATGTATGTATGTATGTATGTATATACGTATGTATGTATGCATATACATATATACATAATAATAATAAATATTATTATATATACATTGTAATCTTGCAAAATTGTAAAGGTTAAGGTGAAATTGGAACCATCGAGATGTTCTTGCGTGAGAATTGCATTGTTTAGAAATGTATTTAAATTTTTAACAATCGCGCGAATTATTGTTCAAAGGAATTACAAGCATTCCTTGAAAATGTAAATGAGTTTTTTGTTTTTTTTTTTTTTTAATAAACGGTAACGAATAAGATGAATACACGATTGGCGATTTTTCGAAAACTGTTGTATACCGTTGATAGAAAAATTGGGCACATCTCGTGGTTCCGAATCGTCTCGCGATGAAGCGTTCTCTTACGAAGGAAACAACAAATCACGATATATCTTTGAAAGATACTCAAATGTCGTTCGATTAATGCGAATTTTGTCTTGATTTTGGTTTTGATTTTGACTTTTTTGATTTTGATTTTTTATTTTGATTTTGATTTTGATTTCGACGGAATGAAACAAAAACAAGGGAGAAATATGAAATCGAAAAAGAACAAAAAAACGGAGCACCGATACTAATATTATTAACATTATTGAATAATGATTTTAAAGTAAGCGAATTACATTTATAAGGAAAGATTATGAAAATATATATTTATCTATGTCTTCTGTGAAGATAGAAAATAGCACTCTCTCACTCTATATCGATGATATCAGACAGGAAACTCGAAATCCGATAAAGAATAGAAACGCAGAAGTGGATTAGGGAAGGGAAAACGAAACGTGGAAGAAAAAATAAACGCTGTTAATGCGAAAGGACGCGAAGAAACGCGGGAGAAAGGAGAATGAAAACGAATTCGCGCTCTGTACACGATACATGTTACAATCGATGACGAGAACCAGAAATTTGTTAAATATCTTTGTACATATTTACATAATGATCATCAAAAGAGAAGTTCCAGCGGCTACATGTTTGCGTATTGTATTGTGTATAGACCTTCGCGAGAACGGAAAATTCTTTAACTTGTAAATTCTCTGCCGAATTCGGTTAAACTGTTTCAAACTGAAGCGCAAACAATCCTTCGTCTGTATTTTCATAGAGAGACACGCCCGACTATCGAAACAAACACTATGTACGTATTTATACTCAGTTCGGAAGAATTTGTGTCCCGTATTCACTATATCGCTTTGCTTTGCGACGCGTTGGTCGGAATTTCCGTTCGATTCACTGAAAATGAAAATTCGTCCAATGGTTCCATGAATAATCTCTATGAAAACATCGACTTGAATTATTACAATGTATTATTCAATTTGTGTACGCCCAAGAAAAAAGAGAAGCTCGCGCTTATTTCAAATTTCTATTTCTTCATATCCTGGAACTGCCATATCAAAGAATTGAGCTTGATTATACAAAAGAAATAAATGAAATATTGATCAGAACGAATGGGATCTACCTGTATATTATCATAAATAAAATGAAACGAGGATCAAAGTAGTTGATTTAACAAGTAAATGAAGAATGAAATGATATATCATTAAATTAGAGGTTTAAAAATATAATAGAATTCAGTATATGTACAGTATTTGAAAAACATGTTTATAATTTGTATGGAAAATAAATAATTGATATAAAAAGAAATTGTATCATTTCGATGACTCCCCCTATGAAAGACATAAAAACGCATGATGCGCATTGTTGTGCCAGTATGTTAGTATGCCTGTAATTCACATTACTGTTCCAAGAACAGCATGATAGTGTGTTTCGATCCTTATTGTTATTGTATTGTTACTATTACTATTACCGTGTTACCGGTGTCATTGTTATTGCCTTCATTTTTTCAACATATAATTAATATCTTGAGTGCACTATACTTTATCGATCTGTTAGCTAAGGAACATTGATGCGGTTCTAATAAATTAAAAACGTGACAATCCAGGCAGAATCTTGCAATCTCTTCGATAAAAAATGGCAAAAATATTTATATTAATTTATATATAATATTTATATTAATATTTAAAAATATTTATTACATATATTGGATTCATATATATGGTTAAGAGAAACTTTGGCCTTGACGCTAATACCTGGTTCTAATCGCGCAATGAATAAATATTTTAAATAATGGTAAAGAAAGCGAAATCTGGAAACTCGAACTAAGAAAAAATGAAACAACTCGAGAGCCACTGGCTAAAAATGAATATATTTAATCTGACACCATTTACGGTAACCCAGTGTAACGATTCTATATCTCGGTATGCTATATGATAAAGCTTAATTAGGGTTTCTTTTTCAAACAAAAGATGCATTTTTGAAATTTTATGGATCATGGACACGCTATCACCACGTGGCGGTAAACAGCCGAACTAAATCTCCGTTGTACGCACAAACAGGGTTGTCGCAAAACATTAGTTATGGGAATATTTTTTATTAACGTCAGAGCGTACAGAAAAATAAATCAAGAATACAAGATTGATCAGCAAAATGGCAGAATCTACTGCATCGATACCATATGAAAATAAAACAGATAAGAACACTGCTAAACATAATTAATTGACTTTTTAGGCTTGTTCAAGTATTACGTTAATTAATTGCGTATCGTGATCGTGACATCTTCGTTATTTTCCACACGATATCGATGCAACAGATTCTCCTAAATACTTCTGTGCACATCATTAATTTTGATTTGCTCTAATTAGGTTTTAATTAATATTTTTCGACGACCATGGATTCCACATACGGGACTATGGGAGAGAGTTAGTTTGGGCGTCGGTCGCCACGCTGCGCCAATGCGCCACAATTCATGGGGCCTATTTTTTTTTTAAAGAAATCAGTAATCAGCAATAATTATGATAATCTCGGATATACGATCGATTCGCTGGATCGCTAAAAACAGTTTGAGACCGAAAACGTTAATTTCGATCCGCTGGTATCGTGTGTTACATATTTGATTTATTTCGATTGTCGAGTTAACAAGTGTCACGGTCAGGTGGCGCCACCATTCAATTTTATACGCGCGAGAGTTTGGAAAAGTTAAGGACAGCAGTTATAAAAATTTCTATGCACATTTTGTTTGAAATTTCTCCGGACATTTGTTTTTACGCAATCTTACATCACGTTTTAGAAGAAGATTCTGTTTCATGAGTACCCGAAAAGTGCTGCGTTCTTTCTCTTTTCGTTTCTTCCTAAAGAATTAAAGTACCGAACGAATTTTAGCTCGTCTAGGTTTTAATTCTCATCGTGATGCATTTCGTAGTTCAATCTGCAGGTCGCGAATTTGTTCACGAATTTGCACACGGATTTGCACGCGGTTTTATCGCGTACTCGTTGCATGCGGATTTGCTCGTGGTCGTAGTCGTAGATTGTAAATGACACGCGAAACCATAATTTGGCAGATCCGTGGTTCGTGAACAGAAAACTTTCATGGACAAAAATAAGCGTCTGCTCTATGTACGTATGTACTCTATTCTATTGTCTATTCCATTCATATTCCAAATTTCAATATGTACATTGTAAATGGTCTATAATATCCGTCCGATGTTTGTCCATGATCTGCATAAGCGGGAAAAGTCCCACGATGTCTGGTGGTTCTTCGCGTAGTGTTGCCAACCATGTTTCGCTAAAGTTGTGCATTTTAGAAAGGTTACTACGTGGTTACTGTTACTCAATGTTTTGATACTTTTGTGTCGTTAACGTATAGTCTCTCGAAAATATGAGGTGCTCGTAACACAATTTCGATCAGTGCTCGAATAACGCCACCGAAAATACTGTCAACGAGAAGTGTCGACGTGTAAAATGGCGTGGTTCGGTGACGGACTGCCTAGCTTGTCGAATTTAAAGGGCCAGATATCGAACTTCACGAAGGAGGTCTTGTCAGAGGGCATCGTAGACGAAATAGGTACGCAGAATTTCATTTTAATTCGAATTCAACCACCGCGAATTGCCATTCGTCTTTTTTACTACGTACGCGTTGCTCGCAGTTGGAGGTTACTCTCGACTGTCAATTTAAGGTTCTGCTTTACCGTGCGAGGGCGCGACAAAGTGGCGGGAAATTCGAATCGCGTGGTTCACGTTGAAATCCGAATTTTCGCTCGTATCGTTTGTTAGTTACGAATCTATATTATATATATATATATATATATATATATATATATATATATATATTATTATATAAAATAATTATTAAATTAATAATAATTATTTTAATAATTATTAAATTAATTATTAAAATAATTATGATATAAAATAATATATATTATATATATATTATTTTACGTTCTCGTGCAATTACAATTGTCTTTTACGCGCAGACGAACGTACGAGGGCATTGAACGAAGCGAATCAAAGATGCGTCGAACTTCAAGAGCTGCTCAAGACGAAAGACACCGAGGTAAGTATCAACTTAATCCTAAAAAATTTGTCGGAATCTTTGCGCTTTCGATTCACGAAAATTATAAATACGAAAACCATGGAAAGTGCCACTCGGTTAAATTAGAACTTTTGTGCGTCGCATAAATCATTTGTCGAGTTTCATTTCCCGAGACACGAGAAGGATTCGCTGCGATCGTTTTCAAGGTTTAATAGTTGCTTCGCGACCGGCTGTCGAATTCATTAGAAATCCTTGGTGCCGATGCGCAGATGTCGATCGATTCGATAAGGGTACGGTTACAGCCGCGCCGGTTTTAAATTATTTTAACAGATGTTGCTTTCCATAATAAACGGGATTGAGTGTAATGTAAATACGTTTACCTTATCTCGTGCAACACCTACTTCGAATCCTGCCACCCGCTACATATACACACGTATGTATGTACGACTCGCGCTAGACCGTCGACCCGCCTACCCGTCAAACTGGCAACCCTTTAGGAAGGAGCGATACGCGAACCGATTTATCGATACGCGGAGCGCGTAGTTCAATCTGAACGTAGCAGCGGTGAAAAATAAACAAGACGGACGTTTCGGCAAGTTCTGTGATTTTATTCGTTGGAATCTCGAAGCAGGATGGCAACATCGATGTTCGATGTGTCCTCGATGTGTAAATCGGACGTTCGGAGTTCAAATTTTCATGAAATTGTAGCATGCTCGTTCAAGACGAAACGAGTAGATCGTCAGGAGTGAATCCGTGAGTAATACAGTATAATGTCTCCCTTACTGACGCTCAGATCGTCCACAAAAATGGACAATTTGTGAGGAGGAGATACGATTATTCGAGCTTTGCGGTTTATTTTTATAGTTATAAATTGTCCACGATTATAAAAGCACGAGACGCAAGGCTCGAACGATCGTATCTCCTTTTCCCAAATGATCCATTTTAGTGGACAATCTGAGCGTCAGTAAGGGAGACATTACTATATTGCTCTTTCAAGCTAATTCTTCTCGAAAACGGAGACTTAAATAAGAAAATGTTATTCCTTTTTCTCGACGTAGTTTTGCACGTGGAATCACCCTATTGCCGGTTGTACCACGATTTTCCGAACACACTGTATAAATATGCATTAAATATAGCGGCTGAAACGTATCGCGGATAGATTGACCACAAAAATGAACAATTTGGGAAGAGGAGATACGATTATTCGAGCCTTGCGGTTTATTTTTACAGTTAGAAATTGTCCACAATTATAAAAACAAGCCGCAAGGCTCGAACGATCGTATCTCCTCTTCCCAAATTGTCCATTTTTGTGCACAATTTGGGAAGAGGAGATACGATTGTTCGAGCCTTGCGGTTTATTTTTATAGTCAGAAATTGTCCACAATTATAAAAACACGAGACGCAAGGCTCGAATAATCGTATTTCCTGTTCCCGAAATGATCCATTTTAGTAGACAATCAGAGCGTCAGCAAGGGAGACATTACTTGTAGCAATCCTTCCAACGAGCAAACCATCGTTCTCGTTGAAAATCTATTCGCAATTACGATCCTTCGTAAATATTCAATTTTTGTCGGCGAAAATGTTCAAAACACAGTAAATTCTTTCGAATTGTCCCTCGGCTTGTAAACAAAAATGGACAATATGGAAAGAGAAGATACGATACGCTCGTTTTTATAATTGTATTTATAATAATCGGCGACTATAAAAACGAGCCGCGAATAATCGTATCTCCTCTTCCCAAAATGATCCATTTTAGTGGACAATCGGAGCGTCAGTAAGGGAGACATTACTGTAGCAGTCCTTCCAACGAGTAAACCATCGTTTTCGTTGAAAATCTATTCGCAATTACGATCCTTCGAAAATATTCAATTTTTGTCGGCGATCGTCGCGTTTCTTTCATAAAATATTACCGGTCGAAACGACCTTCGGACGTGCAATCGTTTCATCGTGGAACGAAGAAAGGGGAACACAGAGGGTGGTAAAGGAGGAGGCAGAAGGGGGTCATTGAAGTCTGCGCTCTACACAGTCACGTCGCGTCGCGTCGCATCGCGTCGCGTCGTTCCGGTTCGTTATCGCGGACAATTTGTGGAAGCGAAGAGAGACCGAAAGCGCGCGCGCCGCTGTTCGTTCGTGCTTTTGTGCTAAACTTCAGGACCATGCCCTCTGTTGTTCTACGAACCGATAGATAGCGATGAGCCTACGGTCTACATCGACGATAACGATGCTCGCGCGACCGCTCTCGCATCCTTGAGAAACCGAGACCACAGCCACGATCTATCGTTGACGCGCCGCGAAAATGTTCAAAATACAGTAAATTCTTTCCAATTGTCCCTCGGCTTGCAAACGAAATTGGACAATACGGAAAGAGAAGATACGATACGCTCGTTTTTATAATTGTTCACAATCGGCGACTATAAAAACGAGCCGCGAATAATCGTATCTCCTTTTCCCGAATTGTCCAGTTTTGTTTACAAGCTCGTGGGTCAATTGGAGAGAATTTACTGTATCGGTTGTCTCGTTGAAACGTATGTATTAGGTCTACCGGAAAGTTCTGTCCGTTTTTGAATTGAAATATAACACAATTTTCATACATTTAATAATATTTTTATTGTAGAATATACTTTCCATCGTTACTTATGTCTTCTTACCTAATATTTTCATTTTATACGACAAAGTGCATTTTACGCGCGCGAAATCGAGTCTTGCGACTTACACAACGGTTACACCTTTAACAATTTTTAAAAATCTAAACTTTGTTAATGTAAAAATTATCTTAGAACGTGATATAACAAATTTCGGTGGTGCCTCAGAGTCACCGCTCGAGTGCAAAGGGTTAACTTATGAAAATCCTGTTCCCAAAATATTAGGTCTAACGGAAAGTTCTGTCCGTTTTTGAATTGAAATATAACACAATTTTCATACATTTAATAATATTTATTGTAGAATATACTTTCCATCGTTACTTATGACTTCTTGCCAGCGCGATGGCAGCTTGTAAATGCCATTTTTAAAAAATGATTTATTTTTAGAGGCGAAGAACTCGACTAGTGCT